TTGAAGTATATCCCCCACTACCCCATTCAGTCGATATTTAGAGACCCTCATAGAACAGGCGACGGAGGTTAGCATCCCGAATCAGATCATAGTTGGCGGAAACAACATGGCTGTCAACCAGATCGGTGCAGTTAGGAAAGGCCCGCCGACAAGGACAATCAGCAGCAGCAGGTAGGCGCAGGCCCGGAGTGACACTCAAGACAACTTCCATAAAATTACAGAATTGCACCCTTGTTGGGGGTACAAGTTTGTCACAGATGTGAATAGTGCTGGCTGCCTGAGGGTCAGGGTGTAATGCACACACGTTCGGAGAATGCTGGCTGCCTGAGGGTCAGGGTGTAATGCACACACGTCCGAAGAATGCAACACATGGCGAAGCTTAGTGGCCTTCAGGATCTCGTGCATGTGCACAATCCTGATAAAGTTTCCGAAGGTGTCTCGGGAATGGGCAGCATATCCCTGTCTGACATGTTGAAACCGCCGAATAAGGCATTCAAGTTCATGGACGTCCGCAGTCATGTCAGCATTAGAAACATTTATATAAAGCCATTGCAGCAAGCGAGCTCGCCAAGCGGGCATAACCCGCTGAATGGACGCAACAACTTCGCACCAAGTACCCGCTGCGCCTAACGCCAATAACCGTTGTAAAGCTGTTCGTACTGCAAGTTGAGGGCCCGAGCTAATATCAATGGTAAAGGCCCGAGAGGATACAACAGGTGGAGACGGGTGAGAAGAAGCAGCAGAGTGAAGAGAAGCAGTAGAGGCAGGACCAACTTGCCGCCAGCGATCGAGGCGTGGCTGCCGTCGAGCAGGCGGTAATCGAGACATAGGCAGAACTGCATTGAAGCCCGAACGGTGCAAGGTACGCAGCCGTCGGACCCAGAAGCCTTCTCTAGGTGCGGCCGACTGCCGAAAGAGGGCATGATCAATCTCACCGCGACCATTAATGTAGAGCGCACGATCAATGCATTCAAGCGGCCAAACAGCAAAACTGAAAGGAGACTGTTGTCGCATAACGTGATAGAGATGCCGATGACGATAATCAACAGCAGAATGCCGCACATGCCAATGCTCCTTCAAACGTTGATGTGCAGTATGGATTGTCTGGCCAACACACAAACGCCCAGAGGGTATATGCACAACAGCATAAATGACTCCAGCAACAGAGTGGATTATACCTGGTTGGAGCAGCTGTTGGTCAATACCTCTCAGCTGTAGCTCAAAGCGCTCAGTTGTGGTGGCAGTATCTAGCTGCCGCAGTTGCTTTAGATGCCATGCTCCCGCAGAATACAAATCAGTATTTCAGCAAAAATGGGCAAGCCAGTCAACACGTTGCCGGTTAGAGAAGGGGAGATTACGACCTCGTGATCGAAAAGAAGGAAACAGTGCTGTGCCTGTCGCGCCACCAACAGGAAGAATCCCGAATGAACCAACCCCCTGATTTATCTGTAGCGGTAACGACATGTTTTTGTCAAAAAGGATTACGATTTTTTTTTATTTTTTTTTGAGAGTTTTTAATTTTTAATTATATATATATTGTCACAGAACTATTGACTAAGAGCGTAAGCACGTGAAGTAGAAGAAGAAATAAGATGAGCGAAGAAAAGAAAAATGAAAGGACAGACAGGCAAAGAGGCTGACAAACCAGAATGGCACAAAACAGTGTCCTCTTATTCTTTGTTTCACTGTAATCTAATTTCTTTCTGTGTTTTACAAAAAAAAATTACACTGAACAAGGGATAAAATTCAAAAACAAAGACACATTGAAATCATTCAGTTTCTCAGTCTTCTTAATGCCGCCTCCACCGTGCCTCTAACGTACAAGGCTCGCCACGTTGATGAAGTTGATATCGTCAAACAGAGCTGCCCAGTAAACCGTGGGCAGACAGGGAGAAGAGGACAACAAACGAGAGGCTGTGACAGACTGTTTCATCGGAGTTTCCCCAACTCATCAAGATAGCGCCCATGGCCGCAAAATGGACATATAGTGTCCGGATGCGGAGGGTGCCTGCAGTCAGGAACGGTGGGACAGTCCTCTGCACACATGGATGCAGAAACCATTGTAGTGATTGTGACAGAGACGATGGCGGCTACAGCCGAGTGTAACAGTGTTTGTGGCTGTCCAAAGGAGAAGGTCGCAAAGTGTTGGTACATTGTCTTGCTGCAGCACGGGGCCAGAGGAATGATCTTCGACATAAAAAAGATTGCGGACGGTTTGTTGTGGCAAGAAAAAAACATCATTTTGTAAGAAAGCAATGACATCAATCATGGCATGGACCATGGTGTCGTTGTCCCACAGCTCCCAGTGGTCAGAGGTATGTACAATGGCCATGTAATGGCCAGGGCCATGCAATGACATCAATCATGGCAGGCAGAGATGCGGGATGGAGGATTAAACCACTCACCTGCTCGAGCATTGCGTAGTTCAAGTTGACGGTCCCTCATTGCTACTTGTAGGACAACAATGGTAAAGCCTCCTTCGTTGGTATAATTACAATCCTCTGGCTGTAGTTGGGGAAGATCAGCATCAAGCTGAAGGGCGATTGCAAAGAATTCTGATGGTGCATAAAACGGGTGGTGGAGAATGTGAAGACAGATATTAGTTGTTGTCAGACCACAGAGATTGGTGAGGTTCTCAGGCTGGTTTGTTGGATGTTGCCAACAATTCACAGATCACCCAGATGGTGTTGCAAGCCCAAACTGTGTTGGGTTGTTTGCTGGTCAGTCATTTGCAGATCACCCATCTGGTCTGCGCGTGGCGGCGCACAAAATTGTGGTTCATCCGAACAATGCTGAACAATGCTGGTCAGCCATTTGCAGATCCCCCATGTGGTCTAAGCCTTGTGGGTTCAACTGCAATCCGGGCAGATCATGTTCCAATCCCTCAACGTTTAGGGCTACATCTTGAGTTGGGACTGTACCTGGAGTCGGGAGTGTACTCTGGGCAGCGGCTGCATCCTGAGTAGGGACTGCACCTGGAGTTGGGTGAGTCGTGAATATCTAACGCCGCAGGGTACCGTGGCTGCCTGCAGGCAGCTGGACTGTCTGCAGGAGGCATAGGAGCGGATATTGCCGCTTGAAACAAAGGAACCGCAACAACCCGTGGAGGAGGCACAGAGAGAATCGGGGCAGACAAAGAAACAGGTTGCTGATCCCCGAACAAGTGACGATGCCGCGGATGTCGTCGGAGATACACAACAAGAGAAGTAGTGGTGTTGCAAACAGAAGCTGAGCTTGTACCTAGCAATGAAGGTGGAACAATGGGAACAATGTAAACTGGAGAGTCTGTTCGCAAGTGAGACCGTGGAGGAGATGGGGGTGGTGAGGAGGAATGCAGCCGTCTACGGCCAAGCATAGACAAAGATGAGAGGGGGGCGCATTGGGCAAGATTTCGGAGCAAAGGACGTGAGCGTCGGAGAGATTGTGATGTTCTTTGCATTGGAGCTGCAGGATAAGAAGCTGTAGCAGTAAAAACTAAAGTAGGGGGAATTACAGTTAGGGGAAACTGCTGTACTGAAAACTGCAGCAAGTGGAAACCGCAGCAGTAAAAACTGCACCAGCGGAAACTAGAGCAGTGGAAACTGCAGCAGTGGAAACCGAAACAGTGGACACTGCAGCAGTGGAAACTGCAGGAGCGGAGACTGCAGCAGTGGAAACTGCGGTAGCAGCAGATGAGCAAGCAGGGGCAGGACGAGAGCATCGTGGGGGCGAAGAAGAAATTGGATGATACAAGGACCATGGCAGCATGCGACGGAACCACTGAGGAGAGAAGGTTAACGGAGACCCTAATTTTCAAACCACTTGCCATGCCATTTATAAGAAAACCAAAGGGTCATTGGGGGTTCCCCGTTAACCATTTGTGGAGGCAAAAGAGGATAAGAAAAGGCTGAAGAATGAGTATGTCCTTGACGACAGAGAGGACATACATTGTAAGGATGGCGTGGATGAACACATGGAAGACCTAGCTGAACATTCTCAGTGCAACAATTGCCACGATGGGTGGCATAGAGCATGCCCACCATATTCCCAGACAAATGGCATATCGATTGCAGGCCAAAATGAAAGAAGAACGTTCGCCACAAAAAAACATGCATTCAGTATAGCGCCCATGGCCGCAAAATGGACATATACCATTCATTTTTCTCATTCTTCTTTTGACTCCCCTTTCACCGTGCCTCTCACGTACACGGCTTGATGAAGTTGAGTGCGAGATGCCCCCATCCCCGTGTGTCATAACAGCCCACTTGTACGCTGTGAGAAAGAGGCAGAGTGAAGGGGGAGGGGATAAACACAGGGAGCCTTTTGATGAGTCGGTGAAACTCCGATGAAGAAGTTGTCACAGCCCCTCATTTGTTGTCCTCTTCTCCCTCTCTGCCAGCGGTTTACCAGGCAGCTCTGTTTGACGATATGTATATATATATCATCAAACAGAGCTGCCCAATAAACTGTAGGCAGACAGGGAGAAGAGGACAACAAACGAGGGGCTGTGACAAACTGTTTCGTCCGAGTTTCACTGACTCATGAGGAGGCCGAACCCCATATAACACATATATATATTGTCACATCACTATATATATATATATATACTGCGGGGTGCTGACAACCCCCGACTGGTAGGTTCCGACCAGCCGACCGGTTGGCTGGTTGGCAGCCGACCAGTCAAGGGGCGCCGACTTCAAGGATATGCAAAACTGTCTAATTGTTAAAAAAAAACTACAATCCATTTATGATATATATAACTTCGACATGTTTCTTTTGACATTTTCTGAAGTGTGGGGTAGTTGCCCTAATCCTCCCATATTTCGCTGATTTGCTCCAATACCTCTGTCAGAATGCACTTGACAGTGAGTCCCTCACCCATCAGGAACTTGACAAGCTGGCTACTATTTCAGAGGAAATAGAAAACATACAGTACAAAGCTCAAGACCAAGAGGGGGCATCACAACATGACAAAGTGATCAGCACCGGCTTACTATATGCAGATCAGACATAACACCTACCGCATGCTGGAGATAAATGGAAAACGCATAAGTGAACGCTGCTCCGAACAGAGTGTACTTGTAAGCACGCGAACTGAGAAGCGAGGGCGTCAATGGGAAGTAGTGCACCACCGCCATTACCAAAACCTGCAACAACAAGACACAAGAGAACAGGCTACTTAAGGTTCCTATCAACCCTTTCTTCCTCCCTTTTGAAACACATCTTCATTCACAGGAGGCCTCACGATGTCCTCTTTTCAGACCAAACTTCACTGATATTTAAATCCCTCATGACCAGCAATAAAACCCCCGGTTACGCTTGCAAAGCCTACTGATGATGAAGAAGAGAAGCATCAGAGGTTCAGGTTATGGCCATAGAGAATGCCTAAAAGGAGATGGGTTCGTCGGGGTTCCAAGACCTGACAACATGATTGTAACAACAACAAGCAGGTGCAGCCAGCGCAGCTTCCGCCCGCAAACACCGTAAGGAAGCAACCCCAATGAAGAATCTCACTTCACTCTTTCTGTCTCTGACTCTATGTTTTCTTTGTTAGTGTATGGCTGGTGCTTTCTGTATCACTGTTTTAGCTCTTGGCGTCTTCTGTCTTTCTAAGTGTTTGTGGAAAGCAGAATAGTAAACAGCAATGGTCACAAACAGCAAGGTCATACACGGTCACAAACAGAATCGTGAACAGCAACGAATCTTCAACGATTCGAAGAACATTATCATCGTCACCTAGAAAGTG